ATTTAAAAATAGACAAGAAAAACCTTTCCAAACCACTGAACATCTCTTGCGTAATTCCATCTTCAGACATGAATGCGTCATACCATCCACGCACTAAAAAAACTATTTACTAACTAAAATAGTATTTGTAAAATTCGTCGAGGAAAAATCAATTACAGTTCTTGTTTCTGTCCAAATGCCTTCATTTCTCATAAGAAATTTAGGAGTAACCAGAACAGAAGCGCCATCTGCTGGCGAGGACGTCATAAATTCCTCCCAAGAGACTTGAGAGCAAAATGAAGTGGACATGGTCAGGTACGTACCAATTTATAAGCGAAACAAATCACAGAATCATGAAAAAGCTGGTTTTTCGGATCATTAGCTCAGTACCGGCAACAAGCAAAAATTATTAAAAAAAAATAGTATTCGTAAACTATCTAGAATTCTCAGAATGCATTTATAAATTTTGGCTATAGCATCTTCCCTGGCCAAATTCCCTCCTCCGTCACCATTTTTTTATGTTGCAGTTCACTTTATTACAACGTTTTTATCGTATGGGAATCTCATCTGTCGACGATTTTCACACCGTAATCATTGAAAAATCTCTGGCAAAGATGGTGCATTCCGCAGTGCTCATTCAGAATTCAGTCCACTGTGCAACAGACTCACCACTACTTCTACTTTTTCCAAACGCAATGGCAAATAAGCTGAGTTAAGTCAAATATATGTGATCTTGGTTATTTTAATACGCAATTAATATTATCGTAACATTAGCCAGCATGTGCGGCCCGAACCAAAGATTCTTCAAAAAACATGTCCGAACTTAAAGAGCTCTTCGTCTTAAAATTACTCATACTATGTACACAACGATAAAACCAAAGAAGACTGCCACTTATACGTGCACGACACGCATACTTTTAACTTCGTAGCCACCAAACAGTAATCGAGCGCTGGTTGGCCATGCAAAAAAACAACCTTCTGCATCATCGATTTGCGCTGATCCTGACATAAGAGGTAGCATTAATTCTTGATTTTCATTAATATTTGTAACATTCAGATTTGCATTGAACCCATTCCGTTTGATTCGTTCCGTCGCTATCTTTAAAAAATTAACACTGTCAGAGCGTTACAAAATGTAGCAGAAAGAAAAATCCTTAATATGCTCTCAAAAAAGTCACACATTTTTTTCGTTGCCCGTCATGTTGATGGGGTTACAGTGCACTAAAAAAGTTGCTCAAAATCCCCTTTGAATCCATCATGTACGACTGGGCTACCGAAAATGGCTATTAATGAAAGAATGGGAGCCGCGAATTGGGTGTGTTTTCATGCTACAGCACTGCTTATTACGGTGGCAGTAGTTGTGCATCCACACCTATTGCTTGTAATCGCTAATGAATATGCTAAATAACATATACCCTATTCCAAAGTAAGCTCTGATAAGCGTGCACGTACAGACTACGTGTATTTCGTGCCAATTTCATTAGTGCGTCGTGATAATTGCAGTTGTTTTTGTTGAGGGAAGTAATGAGTTGTCCTTCCGTCGTTGCAAACAGCTGAAATATTTAGCAAAATCATCTATCCTTGCACAAAAAAAAAAAAAACCATTATGTTTCCCTAAGGCTAGGCCACATTACCTTCCAGCAATGCCCGTGATCCCATCAAATAAGAGGAAACATACCTGGCCACCTTTGAGCTTTTTCTGTGCAGCATGCAGATTCCCCGATCTGTTCCATTCATCTAGGGCTTCGGCAAGGACACCTAAATAAAATCAGACATAGAAATAGAAATAATGATGTCACAAAAGTACTCTGATAACTACGGAAGACAAGAAAAGCTGAC